CCCCCCCCCAAAAAAAAGCCCCAGGCCAGACTCGAACCCACGCGCATCAACACGTAACAGTCATAGTCTACCCTGCCGTATGTACAACCCTCTCAAAATGTACCAATGCGCGATGTGCCAGACTGGGCAGAATCAGAACGACCCAGGTGAACTGCTACAAGCAACCAGCACATAGTCAAGACCCGACATACAACACCCCTGGACGATCCCTTGGGTGGTCTGCAGGCAGTGTCTGTAATGGCTTACCTGTATCAGCCCAAGGGGCTATGCAAGTGACCATACGCCCGTCTGTGCGCAGGCAGTGTCTGTAATAGCTTACCTGCATCAGCCCAAGGGGGTATGCAAGTGACCATACGTCATGCAAAATTTCTGTTCTGCCAAACCAAGGCCTTGCCTTTGCATTTGTTTGTTTCTTGGAGATCCGTCAGCTCTGCCCCCCTTTCTTATTTACAAACGTCCCAGTCAGTCTCATATCCGATCTTGTTGGATTCATTTAGACAGTCAGTGGAGAGTGATGTTGCAGGCTTTCACGTGTTCCTTTCGACCGTCTTCTGCGCAGAGACACCTACCGTGGCTTTCAAGTGTTCCTCTTATTTACCAACGGCCCAGGCAGTGTCATATCCGATCTTGTAGGATTCATTTAGACAGTTAGTGGAGAGTGATGTTGCAGGCTTCACGTGTTCCTTGGCTGAGACTACAGTCTCAGCGCAGAGACACCGACAGTCTTCTGCGCAGAGAGACCTACCGTGGCTTTCACGTGTTCCTTGACTGAGACTACAGTCTCAGCGCAGAGACTCCAACCGTGTTCTGCGCAGAGACACCGACCATGTTCTGCGCAGAGACACCTACTGTGTTCTGCGCAGTGATGTTAGGACACCGACATGAACACCGTCAGTGTCTCTGCGCAGAGGTGTGGAGTTTTGAACCCACAACCTCAGACCAACACCTACTGTGTTCTGCGCAGTGATGTTAGGACACCGACATACCGACATGAACAAGGTCGGTTAAAAAAAAAAAAAAAAAAAAAAAAAGTCGGTGTCTTTGCACAGAGATGTGGAGTTTTGAACCCACAACCTCAGACCACAATGTGCATTGACAACCCGTGCCCTAACCACTGAGCCACAGGCCACTTGCTCTCATTATCCTGTCCTAAGGGGGTAGAGCTGACTTGTATCTTCCCATGTTCTAGGGGAAGATTCACTCTCATTTTGCACATTTTGTGAGTAGTGGGGTAAGGCACTCAGAGCTTGCTTGTTCTTCAATGTGGCTTGGAATTTGGAATTTGCTTCTTTTTTTTTTTTCAATGTGGCCCGATGGACCACGGATCAGGGTCGTAGAGTTTTTAATGTCTAAGGGCCTCCCTTCACTACACAACAATTTACATGTATCTAGAGCTCATAATCGTCCCCGTACATTCAAAAAGTTGGCCTCCTCGGAATGCACCTGCTCCAGAAAGGCATCCAAATGCATGTAGAATGTCGAGCAGTGGAGCCAGGCCCTACAGTTTGGGAGTTATTTTTTTCCTGTTTATTCTCCTGTTTATTTTTTTATTTTTTATTTTTTTTAAAAGCTGCCTTCTCATCATCGGGGGACAGCCATATATTTTTCTCTCACCTCACATATCTTTCTTTTAACTGGCGCTCTGCCATGTCATGGAACATGTCTTTTTTCTTTCACGACCTACCACTACTCCTAAGGCTATACAGGGGACCCCTGCAAGCATAGCTTTCTACCTCTCTTCGGTGAAGGGAGGTTACCTCTCTAGGTTGTTGGAGAGGGGTAAGGGCATGTTTGCCCCTTGCCCTAGCGTTTTAGGGTGCAGGGTTGGGGCCGCCGGGGGGCCCGGCTAACACAAAGACCGAGCATTTTGCACAAGGACCGAGCATTTTGCCGGTAACTGTGCCTCCCTATTCATCTTGAAGTTCCCCCACCCCCATCGAGTAACAGTAGTGTCTAAAGCCAACACTCTCCCACACACCACACTCAACCCACTCACACTCGCACTCACACCCGTGTTGGCTGAAGACCTTACGGATACCGACTGGGAGGATCCAGCTGACTATCTCAGTTGGTTGGCACAAACAGTGCTACAGGCGGCCTCTGCGTTCTTAAAAAAGGGACTGAAAAAAAAAAAAAAAAAAAAAAAAAAAAAAAAACAGGGGGAGCGCCGTGCACGGACGGGTTCTGCACTATGGAGCACTCCATTCCGAACCGGCGTCGGCCGGCGCCTGCGTGCCGAAT